TCCACCCTTTCCCCCCGAGGGTTGGGGTTTTTTTGTGGCCCTTTTGGGTCCCCTTTCTTTCCCCTTCCATTTCCCCCGGGGGGAAGCAATTTGGGGCCAATTTTCCGGGTTCCTTTCCCCCCGAGGGGGTTTTTGGGGGGGTCCTTTCCCTGGTTCGGGGGCATGCCAAACCCGGATTTTCTATTTTCCCCCCTTCCTAATCTTTCCAACGAGGCGAAAAATTTTTGGGGGGCTAAGTCACCCCTCCAAAAAACCCCAGTTACTGGATTCAGAGATGGTGTTTGCCTCCGGGTTTTGGGAAGGCCTGCCCCCCTTCCGTGCCATACGTACTATTACCTGTGCACATAAGATCTCTTGCTTTTAAGGGTTAACTAATATATCTCTCAAACCAAAAACAAAATTCCCCTTAATCAAAAAAAAGGTTTTTTTTCGGTTCATGTTATCTCCTCCCCCCCTTGTTTTTCTTTGCATCAACATTTGTTTTTTAATCATTCTTATTTCCTTAATTTCGTACAGATGTTCCAGTCAGACTGTTAAAAAGGTCAGATTTTTCCCAGGCCCCCCCCCTAGAGCCCTTGAAAAACTTTACTAGCTTTTCTGGCATTTGGGATATCCAACAGTGTATTCCAAAAATCTCACCAAAAAAACGCTTTCCATCTCACCTCACGGGGTTCCCCCCCCAGTCCCCGTTTTTGAAATAGGGTGAAAACTTGTGGAAACCCCAAAAAAAGTCCCGTATGCTCTTTAGGACGTTTGTTTTAAAAATACCTTTTGCACCCCCAACCATGCTGATAATTTTGGAATACGTACAAACCAAATTCTTAGTGTTTTTTTTTTTCCCCTAAACCCCCCCAAAGAGCTCTACTTGCGAGTCAGCCGGGGGCAATGTTCCGTTAAAAAGGGGAATTTTTTTCATCAATAAAAAAAAAAAATTTTTTAAATTGCTATAAATCAAGAATGTCTTCACCCAAAAAAAAACGAAAAACATTTCCTTAGTACCGGGGTTTTTCTAAAATGCATTTCTGTGTTTTTGTCGTTGATCAGGGTCTCCTCTTTTAAAAACCAATTGATGCAAAATAACATTTTTGGCAGGTTTTGATCAGTTTTTTTGCCATCAAAAAATTCACAGCATTAAAAGGATCTTAAAATTTCATCATCATTATACCCCAAATATTTAACGTTTAATTTTATTTTGAGAAAAAAATTTTAAACATCCCAAACAAGTCGGTGATAGGTTTTCTCCTTTTTTTACAACCCCCGGGGGTGGTAAAAAACCAATCGTACGAATTCTTTAAAACACCATAAAAAAAATTTGGGGACTTTTTAAAGAGACGGTTTGCGAAAAAAAATTTCCATCAACCACTTTTTTTAACAACTATAGGCAAAAAGACAATTTAAAAAATAAAAAGTTTTTGGGACATAAATAAACATCAAAAAAAAGGCTTCTCTTCATTAATCTATTTTGATTATTGCAGACCGAGAAATTGATCTATACGCTCTGGTTTTTACGAAAACCATTTTGTTCTTCACCGAATGGTTTGATCCTAAAAAAAGGTCATTACCTTTTGTTGAGGGGGATGAATTTAAATTTAAAAACCATATTAATACACTTATGCCCTTAGCCGGCCCCCGGGTCATTTTTTTGGGAAATTTGGGAATGGGATTCACATGATTTTTAACCAAGGTGCAGATATGTCAAAAAAACACATTTAAGAAAATCATGTGGGAAATAAATTAAATTTGGGTTTTATAACTTCTTGGCATTAATAAATCCCAAAAACGTTTTTTCCCCTTTTTTTTGCAGCGTAATCACTTTTTTCCCACAACCCCCTTCATTTAAGTAGGGGTTACTATATAAGAGGGTTCTAACTTTGGTTTTTCCCATTTTAGTTCTCGGGAAATTTCTTTAAAAAATTTTTCCTCAAAATACCAATTTTTTGCTACCGAGAAAAAACTAGAAAACCCCCTTCTCCCCTCTTAAGACCTGTGAAATATCAAGTTCCCAGCCCCCCCTGACTTCCCTGATTTTCCTTTTGGGGGGGTTTTAGTCGTTTGGGGTCCTAACTTGTTTTTTTGGCTCCAAAGTTGAGGATTTCTTTCTGTATCTCCTCAGGTGAAATACTGCCCTCTCTGATACTCCTTTTTGAATAGGGCGTCTTTATAAACACGCATTTTTTTTCTTAAATTCTTCTAAAAGTTATCTTGTATTCCTATTTTTCCCTTTTAAAAATAAGTCTACCTTGGCTTTACTAACCTAGCCCCCTTAACTATCTTTCCCCAAAAGGCTTGTTCCTTGAACCCTTTCCCTGGCGGGCGTTATTCTTTATTCGCATAATTTTTTCCCCCTTTTCAAATATATAATATCACAAAAATGTCAACCACCATCTAAAAAAATGTTGTTTTTTGGCATCTTTGTAGAGTTTCGATGATTTCCACCCAAGCTCTACTTTCCCCTTTTCAGAACATAAAAGTCATTTGGCGTATATCAGTTGAAATCGGAAGTTTAATAACTTGGGTTGAGTATTAAAACTTTTTTTCAAACCACTCCAAAAAATTTTTTTTTAACAAACATATTTTGGAAAAGGGGGTTAGGACTCTATTTCCCAACATTATTTACAAAATCATTCATTATAATTCACTGTGCAAAATTCCAGTGGGTCAAAGTTTACATTCACAAATTTTGACTGTCCCTTTAAAAAAAACATTTGAAATTACAGAAAATAATGTCATGGCTTTAGAAGCTTCTATAGGCAAATGCATCATTTGATAATTTGGGAGTGTACCGGGAGTTTAAAGCCTACCTTAAAAACTCATGCCTTTGCTTGAAAATCATGGGAAAATAAAAAGAAATCAGACAACCTCAGAAAAAATTGCAGACATCCCGTCGGTTTTCATCCTTGGGGAGAAATTCCCCAAATGCCTGAGGTACCAAAATTTATCTGTAAAAACAGTATGCAGTAAAAAACCCCATGGGACCACGCAGCCTCTCCCGCCAGGAAGGGACGCTTCTGTTTTCTAGAGATGACGTACTTTGGTGGAAAAGTGCAAATCAATCCCAGAAAAACAGCAAAAGGCCTTGTGAAGATTTTGGGAAAAGAACAACAAAAGTATCATACCCACATAAAACAGTCCCAATGACATACCTGAAAGGCCGTCAGCAGGAAA